TTTTTTTTTAAATTTAAAAAAAAATTTTTCACACTTTGTCGCCCCAGCTCGGGGGAAACCCCCCCCCCCCTCCCCAAATGGAAAAGCTTTACCGTGGGAATATCTGATTTACCAGGCGGCAAACGCCAGCTCACAGAACACCTGGCAGCCAGGTGTCCTTCAGAAACCTGCACTCACAGTCACCTTGCACAAGATCATGTGATATTCATTGCCTGGTTGTCTTGGAAACAGAGGGGGCAGCCACCTCTGGGTCTGTTTACTGTGGAGGTTTAATGGAGTTATAGGTGCTGGGAGCAGGAACGCTAAATTAAATTGGAAAAACAGACAAAAACACAGCGTAGCCTCAAGCCTTCAGTTCTTTCTCCTCCCTCTTCTTCCTCAGATAGGGCAGGACAGGGAGAAGTATTGGACGTGGGCTTTGTGGGCAAAGCAAATGCCGACTGTTGGTGGTCATGGGGGTGGGGTGGGGGGGTGGGGGTTAGAGCTGGGAGGGCAAAAAAAAAAAAAAAAACACCCACTGTCCTGGCATCTCCTCTTCTCTTCTCATCACCAAGCCTACACTCTCTGGATCTCAAAGAGTCGGACATCCGTGTCATACCAGATCGGGGGATCCACATTGCTGTAACAAGGGAAGAGAGCAGAAGCCTTTCAGAACAGCATAAACACCAAGAAAAATAATGACACATAAGGATGGCATCACCCTGCTAAACTTCTGGATTAAACTATGAATCAGTCAAAGTGATTTCCATATCTGAAATCCATTAAGGGTCAGTTGGGCTTGACAACCAGTAACCGTCTCTGATCATCTAAAAGCCAGCGGACTCATTCCGCCCGCAGCTAGACTCACCGCAGGTAGATCACACCCCACATGTAGGTGCGGAACCACATGGCAGTACCAGCGTTGGCCTGGTACTTTCGGATCAGGATGGGGTGGGGGACGGGCAGGAGCCCCACAAGGGTGCCATGCTGCAGGAACTTCAGGATCTCCGACTCGTCTGTCAGGCCCCTGCAGGAGGATCAAGTTGGGCTCATGTTCTTACCAACGTTCTCCCCTCCCACTCAATCTCTGGGCAGCAGAAGCAAAAGTCAAACATGGTCTCTAGCAGAAGACTGGTAGCATCTCACTTGTCAATGCAGATCTTCTCCACTTGGGGCACCAGGACCTGGAGCAGGCGCATGATTGTCTGCAATGGGAGCTTGGTCTTCCAGGAGAGCACCTGTCAGAGGAGAGAGCAGCTCACTCTGTGCTCCATGGTCTCCAGGCTGTGTCCTCCTTACAGGAGACGATCACTATGAGGTGTGCAAGTGTTTGCCCAGAATGGCATGTCAGTTCCTTTAGGGAAGTTTGAATCTGGACATTCTGGATGTGAATCCTATTTCAGCTAAACAGGTCATGTAAGGTCAGGAGGAAGAGAAGGTGCCAGCTTAGTCAGGGGGGAGCACTTTATTTTGGCCAAAGGAAGAGCTGAGTTGGGTTTCCTGTATTCCTACATGCTTCTCTCTCCGGGAGCGAGTAGCTGTAAGCTACAGGTCATTCATTGTAGGACATGTGGGAGATTTAGGCTGCTGAGTTGGTGGGTGATTGGCAGTTTCGAGGTGGGGAGAGGTGGACTCACCCATTCTGGGGTGGGGGTCCAGCTCGAGACCGAGGACACACTGGACAGACGCCTCCGGGCCGTTTCGGCCTCTGTGTAAAACACGTCCTGGGAGGAGGGAGGGGACTGGTGAAGATTTGCTCGCAAACACATACACACACAGGTTTGTAACTATATCTTTGTGGGGACTCTAATTTCTATGGGGAAAGCTCTAATCCCAACATAACGACCGTAACCCCTACCCAGTCCTAACCTTAACCATAAGTAACTAAACGAAATAGAAGACTTTTGGCATTTTTACTTTTTTGATTGCATTCACAGATCTTTGTGGGGACCTGAACAATCCCTTCCCCCCCCAGAATAAAGGGGGCTGCTACCTCGTTATCCCTTCCCGAGTTGGATTCAGTGTCACTGTGGTCCGACGGGGTGTGCTGTACAGAGACCATGGTGCCATCCTCGGACACCTGCGACTTCTCAGTTAGCTTGTCGATGCCTGTGGGTGGCGAGTGAATATCAGAGCATATCAGGTAGCGATGGACACAACGATGCCTCATGAACCATCTGCTGTATTTTCCAACCCCATTCTGGCTCTGGCTTTGCTTTGGGACCATGCTTTGTGCATTTTTGAATAGAGAGCACCATCTAGTGGAGTCAGAAAATATAGCAAATGGTTCATGAAGCATCATTTTGTCAATCACTGATATCAGGATAACCACCATTTATCTTAAATTCCGCATCATAATGTTACAGATAGACCCAGTTATGAGCAAATAAGCATATCAGCTGGGATTTGAAGAACCAGTAAACCTTCCTGGTACAGAACAGGACCTCACTTCTCCTTGGTCAAAGTAGTCTACATTCACACCGCCCAGTAGGTGGTGATCACAGGGCAGTTAGTTGATACACAACATTACCCAATGGAAAACTGTTCAGTTCAATGAATTTATAATATGGCAGGTTTATCAACACGGCTGCCCCAAAAGGTCTAGAAACAATACCCAAGGTTGGGAAAAATTTTGTTATAATTGTTTGTATTAGATAGAAAAGTTCATTATAAATTATAAAGGATGCCTGAGAGCTGCCACCTGACCAGAGAAAGCTGGGTCTGTCCCGCTAACTGTGGGACCAGTTAGTGATGAGACGTGTGTTTACATTCCATGACAGAAATCGGTGTCAGGGCATGCAGGCAGGGTTTGTGGGCAGCGCCTCGGTACCCGGGGTGGCAGCCAGGCTGGTCTTCACCGTGCCGGGCTCAGCGGGGGCCGCGGGTCGCGAGCCCTCCATGGACACGGTCTCCTGCGAGTTGGTGCGCGAGATGCCCTCAGGCGAGCGCTTCTTGCGCTGCAGAGCCTTCTGGATGGAGGCGGAGTCTGACGGCAGGTTGGCCAGCTGGTGGAAGACGGACCGCTTGCGGATGATGGCGTACACCAGGTTACAGTTGCCTGGGGGTGTTGGGGGAGGGGTGATGGAGAGAGAAAGGTCAGGTCAGCATGGCACATCAAGCAGGACCACAGGTTTAGCCATCAGTTAAGAGGGTGGAGGGCTACATATTAATGCCTCCTGTGCTTTGTTAAGCAGACGGCTTTACTGCAACAGGCAGGACACAGAGTGTCAACTAGAAAAAACAGTATTTGTTAAAATGAGAAGATTTCCCTTCATCAGTGTTCCCCAGTTCCGGTCCTGGAGGGTCAGTCTGTAGCACAGTTTGCAGATTTCCCTGCTCAGACACACTTACTAAACCTGGTAATTAGCTGGTGAGTAACGTATGTCTGAGCAGGGAAACCTGCAAACTGTGTTGCAGACCGGCCCTTCAGGACCGGGACTGGGGAACCCTGCACTGCATGAGGTTAGCAGCAGAAACTTTGGTGGGGAAAAAAGCAATAGCTGCATAATCAATGGAAACACGAAGGCTAAGATCTTAGAGCAAATAAACTGCAGGTCAGGGCTATTCAAATCACAGCCCTCAAGGTCCAAGCACTGCTGATTTTCCAAACTTTCCTTTGCCTGTGAGTCAGGTGTGAAGCCTTTGGCCAATCAGAATCAGTAAATATTTAACTACCTGGGAGAACTGAAAACACGGCCTGGATTTAGAATCGAGGTCCAGATTTGAAGAGCCCTGCTGTAGGTGAAGGCATGGGAAGATGCATGTGGACTAATTGAGACTGTGGTCACACACACACTGGAATTCACACTGGTACCCCATCCACCATCACTCTGTTCTTACCATCAAACTGGTACTGAATGATGTTGTTGAAGACCTCCAGCAGGAAGAAGACCAGGTGATGGTTCTGCGAGACAGAGAACAGAAACCAGGGCGTGGAGAAGGCCTCTAGAAGGTGCAGGAGCTTGTTGGAAGCCACCATGGACAGACTCTTCAAGTAGGGGGAGACTGTGGACGAGGGGTTAAATGTCATTTACCTGGCGTTCAGTCAGATAAGGAGCAGTTCACACATCCGACCACCAGGTGTCACTCACCGTTCACAACAATGGTGAGCAGGCAATCAAAGAGCGGCTGCAGGCGCTGGTGTCCGCTTGTGATGATTTTGTGGAAAACCTGTGCCGAGTACCGACATCTATGGGTCAGAACTGGGACGGAGAGGGAGCAGTAGCTCAGATGAAGAGTGCTTACGAAGGTGAGCACGCACCACGATGAGAAGATCGGCATGGGTGCCGGTGAAGACGGGGATGTCCATGGGCACGCGCACCGCGTACGGCTTGTTGAGCCGCACGCCGAAGTTCCTCTCACCGCTCAGCAGCAGCAGGATGAAGACGCCGATGTGCATCAGGCCCACGCGTGCTGCGGAGTCACGCACACACATCAGGGCAACACGCACACGCCGGGCATGCGTGTCACTTCCTGTGGGCCATCACACACACTCACACTGGTCAGCTCGGGCATCATTCAGGTAGTACAGGATGGGTACCAGGACGTCCAGCACATCACTACTCTTCAGGACGAAGAAGAGGAATTTCTGCAAGACACCAGCGAGACAGAGCAGGTCACATGGGATTCAGGAGACTGTAGTCCTGGACGTACCTAAGATCTACAGGAAAAAATACAGCCCCTGCATAACCCATCGGGACAAGGAATTTAGGGAAAGACAGACATTTATTGATAGTAAGCCAGCAGAGCATTAAAACACTGCCATTACACCCCGACAACACCCCCTAAACATGCCGTGAGAATTGACAATTCTAAGGCAGGGGCAGGCAATCTTATCCAGAAAGGGCCATTGTTTTGTGAGGGTTTTTGCTGCAACTCTCTAATTAGGTTATTAATTAGAGGATTGATTGGCTGAAGAGTCCTCACACCTGGGTTTGAACAGCTGACCTACAGGTTATCCCAAACACCTGCATACACACCGGCCCTGTGCGGATAAGACTGCCCACCAAAGGAATTGTGCCTTTGTGTGAATTCACAACCTTTAGTCCCCATTTAAATGATGCTCAAAGCTCCAAGGGGGGGTGGCGAGCTCTACAGTGGTTAAGGAACCTTTTTTGGTTTCAGAAACCACTCAATGATATTGGCAGGGGTGGGGTTACACCAGCTGTGAAATGACTGGGATGGTGGGACACACAAGGAAATGAATCTAGACCAATGCTGGGGAGAGAGACGCCTTTGGTCTAGAGGACTATCCAGCAGGCTATGAACCACATATCAGGAATCTCAGAGCTCCTGGGTTCCTCCACAGTGAGGAACATCTCCAGGGCTCTCAGCCTTGCACCTTGTTGAAGTCACACAGCTTCCAAAAGAGCACCAGGAGCTCCTGGTGGAACTGGATCTTCTTGGTGGAGTTGGGCAGGTAGGTCTGAATCAGTGGGTTGGTCAGCAGGCGGGCTAGACCCTTCAGGATGAAGCCAAAATCCTGTGGTGGGGGGCAGGGGCGGCACAGGAAAACACAGCTTACTGACACAGAGTCACTGGGATAATAAGAGAGAAACAGGTCAAAGAATCTCAGACTGATTTGCTCTACATGAGGATTGGGTCTCACCTCCTCCCTGTGGATCCTGGACAGGTAGTTCACAAACAGGTTGTCTGGGCCCACAAACTGCATACAAGAGAAGGCTGTGTGAGATATGCATCACCATGGCAACAGCGCCAGCAAAGCACAATGCTAAGGGGCAGGGCTCGTACGTCCTGGTCGTCCAGGCTAGCTGGCGAGCCCGTGGAGTCCAGGGGCTGACTGTGGCCTGGGGCTGCCCCACCCTCATGCTCCAGGGTCACGATGAGGATCTGCACGGCGTGCTCCACCAGCTGCTCACGGTAGTCAGAGAAGAGCAGGTGGTTGTAGGGGATGCCATAGCCCACGGGGTCGTAGGCACACACCACGTTGAGGAGGGAGGTGAAGAGGGGCAGGGCATGCCTGGCCAGGGGGGGGGCAGCAAGGAGGCGTTAGTGCTGCGCTCTGCGTGAGTGCATACATGGGTGCACGCACCCGCGTTAGCTTCTCACCTGTTGTCCGTGGAGCAAAAGAAGGTCACCCAGGGGTTGAGGATGTTGTTTTCAGAAGATGGAGGGAGATACATGGCCTCAGAGAAGCAGGTGAGCAGCAACTTCAACAGCTCTGTCCTGAACGAGGGTAGGAAGGAGCAGACGAAACAAGTTAGCAGTTAGCGATCCGGCCGGCAGCTAGCAGTTAGCGATCCGGCCGACAGCTAGCAGTTAGCGATCCCCGGCTGGCAGCTAGCGGTTAGCGATCCGGCCGACAGCTAGCAGTTAGTGATCAGCAATTAACTTTCAAAATGTTGTACTTGCCATTTATATAAGTATGAGCAGAAATGTAAAGTTCAGGTCTAAAAATCACAAATCCAGACCAAGATTTTATGTTAACCAGCCAGCTGAGTATGACAAACAAAATCTGGGACTAGACTTTCTGGACCTGAACTATCCACCTCTTAGTACTAGTATAGGTACATAGGAATTCTTGTTTTCACATATGCCATCCATGTCCCCTTTGAGACACAGACAGCTGAGAGTGAAGTTTGGGGTCCGAGAGCAGAGTCAGCCATTTTTGGGGCGTTAAGGGCCTTTGCTCAAGGGGCTCAACTACAATATGATGACTCTTCGAATACAGGATTTGAACCAATGACCTTTGGATCACCCCGGTGAGCCACACGCCACTAAGGGTGTCAGAACCCTGAGGCTTTAATGGGCCCAGACCTGTGTTCAGAACCCCTCCAGTCCATGCTGTGAGCTCACCTGTTGAGGTCGTGGATGTAGTTGAGGGGGGGTGACTGGGCGAAGCCCACCCCCGCCTCCCAGATGTACTCACAGCTGTCCAGGGTCTGGATGTCCTCTGCAGTGTCCTGCAGGAGGGAGAGACCATGTGACCATGTGACCGACACCCGTGTGCGTCACCTGGCGCTTAGAGCACGCTGAAGCCGCGCCAGGGATCGAGTCACACGGAGGGACCGTTTGGGGAGTTCTTAACGGCAAGTACACGTCTCATGGCGCCCTAATAAGGGAGAGGTGTGTGGTTGGGGGAGGAGGCAGCCAAAGTGCCATCACCTCAGCGCTGCCAGGGCTCTGGGGAACATCCTCCATCACCCCCAATGAGGAGGAACAAATAACCACCCCCCCGCCCCCCCCACCGGGACCTTGGCTAACTTTGGCCCACACCAAACGTAGGACAAACCCAGAGCTGCTATCAGTCATATGGATGGGGCTTTATCTTATGTTATTATTAGAGTGTGTGTGTGTGTGTGGGGGCATGTCAGAAATAATGTCTATCAGGTTCCTTTCCCATTTATGAGGGGAGGTTTTTACAAAAACTGCCGTAACAAACAGCTAGTGAATATTTCATTATTTTCATCTTTTTGTAGAGACAGACAGACAGGCAGACAGGCAGGTAGACAGACAGACAGACAGACAGACAGGCAGGCAGACAGACAGACAGACAGACAGACAGGCAGGCAGGCAGACTACCCGGCGCCCTTTCGTCTCTACAGGCTCGCTCAGCGGTCAAAGACATCGCCTCCTGTTACAGCGATCCTGATAATCGCAGGATCATTGGAGCCCCCCCCCCCGGGACTGGGCACAGACGCTGACTGTCACCATGACCGTGGGGACAGTGACACCTGCTCTGGCATCCCTGCTTTTGAGATTCGCATCGTATGATGATGATGATGATGATGATGAAGATCTCCAAGCTCATTCATCTACTTCTCAGTCCCCCCCCCCCTTCAGGGACCTCCCCCAGTCCACATAATTACTGCATCCCATCAGCGACTCACCTCAGCTACATAATTAACTCAAGTCCATTATTAATGTTTATTATACCTCAGGTGTGCTGGACAGCTTGAGTAGGAGGGACCTAGACAGGAGGGACCTAGACAGGAGGGACCTAGACAGGAGGGACCTAGCCTTTACAACCAATGGAACACTAGAAGCCCATAACTGAGTTTGACCAATCAAAGACAGCCTTTCCAGCCCCCCCAGCCCCCACCCCAGTGAGTACTTCCAGTTAATGTTCTACATGAACTTAAACACACGCCTTCAAGCAGTTCCTTGTCCTTTGTCAGCATTCCTGCAATCGCCAGACCTCTCCACTGCTTTAGGTCAAGACCCAAACACCAGAACAGCGGCATATCCCTTATGATCCGCCGGCGATGACTCACCGGCGCCCCCCTCCTGTGGCTCTGCACCGTGAAGTCGGGGCAGAACAGTAGGTCGGCGACGGCCAGGAGCAGCAGCTCAGCGAGCGGTCGGGCCCCGTCCTCGTCAGCATCACCATCTGCCTGTACCAAGCACATGTTTTGGAGGGGGAGGGGGGGTGTATCTCCTTACACATTCAATAAGGCTGATATAAAATGTTTAAAGAGGAACGCCACTGCAGCAGGAATACACAGCACGACTGAAGGTGGGGGCAGTTTCTGGGCTAAACAATACAGAAATGACCAAATCTGAAAAACAGTCACACCCCCATCCCACTTCCCCTTACCCTTCTAATCCACACTGACAGACACCAAAGAGGTGACCCCCCCCGGTCACATGGCAAATAATTTTATTTATTCAGCAGACCATATTATCTAAAAAAGCAGAGTCACATCATCCTCTGCAGGAGAGCAGGGGCTGGGAAGGCAGCGACCTTATGGACACTGATCCAGGATGTCTGCTGACATGCAATGCATGCTGGGATGGCCGTCAGCCAAAACAGCTGGCGTCCCAGCGGTGCGTGGCGGGGAGCAGGAAGCCACCAGCCACCCGCATTGCCAGTGTCCGTGGTACCGACCCCCAGACAGAGTACCTGGCGGATAGCGGATGCCGAAAAGGAAGGCAGCATTTTCCAGAAGCGCTCTGCACTCACAGAAGGCGATTGTGTCCGGACAAAAGGGCCGCTTGTTACTGCCGTACAATCCCGAAGCCCTCGGCCAGTATGGCCAGTGAGAGCGGAACAATGACCCCCCTGTGTCCTGGCTGGGGGTCACAGTAGACGCTCCTCAGGTACGGTAATAAAACCCCGCACTGGGCGTGGGGGGTAGGGCTGCTACATCAAGACCTGGGTGCCGGATCCCACCTGAAGCGATAGCGCTGTTTGGTTAGCGTCTCCAAACATAGGAGGGCCCAGCAAAGTGGCACTCCTCTGTAGTTAAACGCGGGGAGTGTGCAGGCCACAGCACACACTGGCAACCCAAGAAGTCCCCCACTAAGAGGATGGGCCAGTCTCTCACGCAACACATCACACCGTTTAAGAAACCAAAGCCTTTTAACTTGCCGAGACATTCAGCTAAGCCAATAACCAAGACGCTCACCCACACAGAGCAGCACACCGCCGTCTTCCTGCTGTCCAGCCCACGAACGCAAAGGATGTGCACGAATTCCAATCGACCTGAGGCAGTTTTTTTGTTTTTTAATTTGCACCTGTGGTGATATTTCAGTCTCGTCCAGAGCGACACAAACAAGAGAGGAAAAATAAATAAATCATAGTAACGGAGGATGTTAGCAAACGTGACTACGGTAATCTGTGATTACCAGGAGGCCTGCTATTGGCTTTTGTGGCCTGCTGCTCCCTCAGCTGTCACACCTCACATTTAAAGATAGCCACATCCTTGTACGCATCTCTGACCAAGCCTCTTTAGATACACATTCATGAGCAAAATTCCACACCCACATCCATGGGAACATGTTACACACCAAAGCTCCCGAAAGCATAGGAGCTACCGGGAATTATGGGTAAGTTCCTGACATCACAGAGCGTCAACTCCCAGCTCATTCAGTAGGCTTGTCAAATGAAGTATGTTTCATTTAAAATAGGGCTGCACAATATCACATGGCGATAACATGTGGAATAATCACCAGGGCTTTGTGGACCCAAGTAAATGGAAGTAGAGGAGCGAAAAGAAAGCATCCAGGCAGACGCCTACACCCGTCATCTAAAGCCCTTAGTGATCATTACACACGTGCCATATAACCGCGATTATATCGCAGTGTGATATCGTGCAGCTCCAATTTAAATGTTTAAGAGTCTTAAAAACACATTCTTGTCAAAACTATAAGTGACTGTTCCTAATAAAGCAGTTTGTTGAAGCATCACAGTGCTTTTTGTCTGTGTGTCAGTTCTGATGTGTGACCACACCACTTGCGTTTTACTGGAGTAGGAGTGTCCACTGTGTAAATAACGCCGACACACTTCACCGCCCTTAAAGGCTCCAGGTGGGAGTCCGAGGTCTTATAAGGAAAAGCCAGACATCACAGGCTGCTTCAGCTGCACCTTCAGTATGATCCCATAAACCTTGTGTGCTGATCTAGAAACTTCTCACAACTCTTATACACTTCCTGCAATCTGCTACCCATCTCCTGATTAAACGAGCATCAACCAGTGATAAACCAGCGACTGTTTCCTTGAAATAATCAGACCAGGTTCCCCCGGATGGACTGGTGACCTCCACACAAAATGCTCCACAGCCAGGCTGTGCTTTCGGGGGAGACACGGGGCAATGGGAGCAGCCGGATATCAGGCCAGCCTCCCTCCCGCTTACCCCGTCCCGGCCAGCTCCAGGCACCGTGGACCAGAAGAACCCCCTCCAATCAGGGTCCTCAAAGATGTAGGGTAGGATGCGTGAGAGCAGCCGGGCACAGTTCAAGATGATCTGCTTCTCCTTCTCCGAGGGGCAGCCAGACTCTGCCCCCTGGACCAGCTTCTCCACAGCCTGGGGGGGGGGGGGCACACATGGCATTGGTGCTCAGTGACACACGTTTCAGACATGCAACATGTGACACACTCGTACAAGCGAACAGGAAGCTTGCTGTGCACGCTGGCAGTCGCACACCACACACACATCATTCTTATTGTGAAGTGACACATTTTCATAGCAAATCCCACAGTCAAGCATCAAAACAAAAGCACTTTGCCCAGTAAAGGGTCTAAAAATGACAGGGGGAAAAAAACACAATAGACCATCTGCTGCAGACAGCAGACCTCTGACCCCGAATGTCACGCTAAGCAGAGCAAAGAGAGCCTGCATTCCTGACAGCCTGACCGTAACCGAGGAGCAACAGCACCAAGTGCGGCTCAGCCTGCCGCTGTGAGCCGACCCGCGGGTCACGCAGACCCAGCCAGCCAAACACCAGCTTCACTGGGGTCTCAGAAAACCTTCTCTGAGCAAACCCAGACCCAATAAACCCCCCCCCCCCCCAGAGGGTGTGGCTCATCCTTCCTTTTTACCCCCCACCCCAGATTCCCTTTGTTTTCCTTCCGACCGGCCAATCAGGAAGCGGTATGTGCCAGCCCTTTTCGCAACTGCTGCCAGCTGTGCGACCCCCCCCCCCCCAGGACATTTGTACCAATAAATTATTTATCAGGAACCTCCCAAAAAATGAATGTCATTTTTACAAAAAAACACATAAATAAAAACCCATCAATGGCAGAGTTAATACAACAGACACAAAGGGTGAATCAACCACCTAGAAGAGGGCAGGGGACGACTCCAACATACGTCAGTCACAGCAGCTGAAAGCGTTTTGCATAATACATCAGGCTCTTCCTTAGGGTGCCCTTTCACCGCGTGAGCCTCAGGCTTCAGAGGGGTGGCAGGGGGGCCCTATTCATCCACTTCATCCCACGTCCTTGCAGGAACCCCATGAGGAACCCAGAACTCTATACCTACCCACCCAACAGAGGGCAGTCTTGCGCCTCAGGGCTCACACCCAGATCCCATCGTGGTGGGGGCACTTCACCACACTGCCACTCCTACAGCACCTGATTCACTACATACATCCATCCACCCACCCATAAAAAATTCAACCCCCACCACCAGGTGTACCTTGTAGCAGAGTGTGGCCAAATTCGAGGGAGACTCTTCACGGACTGCCCGTATTTCTGCAGCAGGGACCAGGGCAAACACATCCTGGACAGTGGTGATCGTATCAGCCCAGAACTGGTCCCAGAAAGCATCGTCCGTGGCCTCGACAGGCTGTGGGAAAATAATCAAGTGATTCACATTAGACCTTATTCTAATTCGAGCACTTTGATTAAAGCTTTTTCGTCGTTGGTATAACAGATCCCGCTTGTAAGGCAGGGATATCATACCCTTATCAAAAAAAATCTAGGTACTTAATCTCTTAATCAGTTAACGGTTCAACTGCATATTTGCAGCAAAAGAAAACATCCATGTACGATTTTTAACCTGACAGCTGATCGCGAGAGTCAGACACTCACAACAGTTATATTATATTGCTTCTTTTTATATAGCTAAACAACACGAAGCGCCTCATAGCTCACGGCGAGCTCTTCAGACATTATCCGGAGCCTCTCGTGCATTGATGCCGGTCCACCTTAAGGCACCTGCCGCATTTGGAGGGAATAATCCCTAAAAACCACGTCATCCATCCATCCATCCATCCTTCCAACATCGACAGCTCGTCTGTTTTTGACCAAACGCTATTCAATTAACGTAAAATACATTAACAAATTAACGCTTCGGTCAATGTTTATATGCAAGATAAGAATCCCACTTAAAGCACGACAGCCGAAGCTCGATTTACTTATTATATGCGGCGGGCCACCTTAAAATGACTTCACCGCTTAAGTTTAATTATATAACCGCTTTGTATAAACCATTCACTAATTGCCGGAAAATTACTTAAAAGACGGTAAACCATAAAACGATACATCTCGGTTTATCGACTGTTAAAATTACGAACATTTCGGTCGTGCTACTATTACCTGGCGAGATTCATATCGGAAAATGGCAATTCGGTTTGCTGAGGAAACTCTGGCTGGGATCGTTATAATGAAAATAAAGATCCGTAACGTGGGAAAAACGCGCATTTATTATACAATAGGGAAATTACGGTCCGTTATCGGTCACTTACAGTTACACCGTAGCGACAGCAATTACTGCCTATAAAATTCCCACGAAATTTAATCCTATTAAATCTGGCTTTGTTACAAAATACCACCATTCACCATACGTATAACGCTGCTGTAGGAGTCCAGACATGTAAATCCCCCCGGTTTCCATCCCATCACTGATGTTGCCGTACCATCTGGTGCGTTTTCGTTGCTATTTTTATCCCTTTGCCATAGCGCAGCGTAACCAGGCGCGCGACCCCTCATCATGCGGATGCTTTTATTATAAAGACCATAATGTAAAAAACACCAACCTGCGTTTTCGTCGTCAGCTGTATCACCGCCTTCCTGAAGTTGAGCTTGGAGTCCGAGCCCCCCATTTTGCCTGTGTATATGTGTGCGTGTTTTCTCCTCCGCCCCTGGTGCTCCCTCACGCGCAGCTCCCTCCCCCGCGTGTGCCGCCCTGGCGGAGGCGACGGCCGGAGCGCAAAGCAGGATCCAGGATCAGGCACTTCCGCTTCAGCGCCTCACTGATTACAGTCGCAGTAAATAAATAAAAAATCGTTTATCCCCCTTAAAGCTCCCCCAAGTCAATAAAAAATTAATTTCAAATTATTCTTATAAAACCAAAATATATTTTAACAAGACTTATGTTTATCATCAAAGCAAGTGTAAACTTTATCAAGTGACAATTGTCAAGTATTAATTACACAAAGACCTTAGAGTAAATATACAACGAAACGAAACAAAAAACGTATTCTAATCCCGTCAGTATTTGTTTCCATGTGCAGACGGTCATTACATGTTAACAAATACATAAAAAAACACAGTACTGTAGTCTTCTTAAAGAAATTCTTTACTGGTCAGGCAGTGACACCTGCTGGAAATTGCAGGTAAAACGTGACGAGTTTAACGTTGATATTCTGGTATTGGAAGGACCATGTACTTTTAAGTAGGATACTTAAACACTAGCCTTCTGTCCTGGTGTTCTATGCCAATGCGAGAAACAATAATAATTTAAACAATAATAATTTATAGTAATTAATTTAAAAAGTAGGCACTGTGACTTTCAGTACATCTGGACTAATGTAGAAATACAAAGCTTCCTAGTGCATAGATTCTGTTAGACACGGTGGTGAGAAAAGCAAACAATGAAATACAGACATGATGGCAATCTCCCTACATATCTATGGTGACCTTTTGTTACACCACATCAAACCAAAGTGAGACCAGAGTGAGTCACCACCACCCCACCCTTGCTGGCAGTGGCCAATCAGATTTAGCAAACAGTAAATACAGGTTTCCCATTCCCTGACTGATGCTGTCATACTGGGTCTGGTCACATGACCAATTCATTTAAATCCTTCCTCACAAACAGGTAAAGTAAAATGTTTTCATAGAAGCATATACCATCATATTGGGCACAAGGCACTTCATCACTGGCCACGTTGTTTCATTGGTTCACAGTCGTCCTTTTCTTTCTGAGGTAGTTAAAGAGGCACTATGAGGGATTCTCTGCTGCTAAACATTTTCAGTACAATTCACAATATCAATAGTTTTGCACGTAGCGGTGCACGAAAATCAATGAGCAGAAGACACTTTGGCCAGCAGTGGAAAAGAAAGTGTCTCCGCGCTTCATAAAGCAAACCAAAGTTTGTCAGCCATGGTCTCAAATGCAGACTGAGAAAGGATTTATAAAAAGTCTGTAATTGTTTCAATCTGTCTATCTAAATACTAAAATCTATAGTCCAGACTGATAACATATGTCTGACTGTACTTTCTTCTGAGTGAATATGAGGGAGACTTACACAGACAGTAGACAGCACTGGCTAATAACTGGACCAGTTAGGATAGTCGAATAAGAATGAAAACCAGCAGACATGGCAGTAACAGAAGCTGAGATCCCTGTTCTAAGTGACTGTATCCTGGGTCAGAGGTCAGCCACTTCTTGGGTCAGAGGTCAGAAGTCAACCACTTCCTGGTGCTTCAGTGATATTTTCTCCAACGTTCCTCCTCTTGCAGTGAAAAGGGAGAAAGTTTTACATTAGTAAGTTTAGGTATAATTAGAAAGTGTAATTATACATTTACAGTAATTTTAGGCAGAAGCTTCTGACGCGCAACTTAAACTGATTTCAGTCAAGCTGGACTTCAGATCCAACCTTGTATATAAACGAGTGAAAATGTGACAGAATTTTTAAACAGACTCAGTGACAGACATATAGAAAAAGAACCTTCAACTGAGCAGGTTATATTAGGTGCATTTTGGGGGTCTTATCCTAGCAGGAAGTGGAAGTCTGTTTATGCGACCACTCAGGGTTCGGGCTGGTGTGCGGTCCAGCAATCAGTGCAGAACATTACTGAAGGACCACAGTGCCCAGACAGTCCCGCTGGATTTACTGTAATGCAATTAACACAACGAATGGGGCTAGGAGGCAGCAGTGTTCTCACTGAGGCGGGGGTAACTCCACAGGTAGCTCAGGACACAGTAGGTAGTCAGCAGCATGGCCACCCCACCAACCCCGCCCCTTCGGACGTCGATGTACCGGCTGTAATACCACCTCCAACCTGCGGGGGGGCGAGATGCTACATTAGTATGTTTGTACGTATGATAGACAGGTGAACAAGCAGAACACAGTCAAAGCAGAAGCTCACCTCTCTGCAGAGAAGCCACACCAGCCCTGGGGCTCGGCAGAGGTCGTGACATCAGCCACGAAGGCAGTTCGGCAAGCCGCACATCCACAAAGGCTCGCTCTGCCAGACACCCTAGACAGAGAGAGAGGCTTTTAGAAGGGTGCTTCACGCTGATGAGCATCACAGCAGTCCAGCACCAAGCTCTACGCTGCTCAGAAACTCTACATCCATCAGCATTTCGCGGTAACGCACAGCACGAACAACGCCAAAAGTGAGACGCTGTTTTTAGATGGTCATCCGTGGCAAAGGACGATGGAAAATGAGAGATCACACAATTGTTTCAGTATCAGATTAAATAACAGGTCTGAAAGTAACTGAAATCCATTAAAAATGCAAATAAGAACAACAGTACAGGTGACTGATGAGCATTTGTTGGGTTGCAGCATAAGACCAGGCCTTCATTGTAGAAGCTGGAGTGGATGAACCATGAAGCCAAGAGCCAGAGGGCCCATCCATGCAGGCTAGAAGCAAAGGATCACTCGCTGCTGTCCAATCCTACGCATGCACCATTCGTCCGGCCCACTTTACCTTGAATCTCTGCCGCTATTGGCTGAATCTGAGGCGAATGTTTCTGCACATGCTCAGTGCGGCAGGGCCGTCGGGGAAGCATGGAGAAGCTTATACCGCGGTAGGCCAGAGCCAGCTCGGGCATCCACTCCAGGCCTGCGGGACGGGGGCCTGCGGGATGGGGGCCTGCTGGATGGGGGCCTGCTGGAGCTTTGGAGGGGTTCAGAGGCGAGGTGTGTGTGCACGCTGGGAGCGAGGAGACCATGGGCGTAGGGACCTTACACGTATTATCAACAGCAGACAGAGGTCTTAACTTATGCAGAAGGACAGTCTCTGTAGCCAAGGCTGAAGAATCCAGAGGTTTAAGTCCAAGGACAGCAGGTTTGACCTTGAAGGCCCCTCTGGTGTCTTCAGCATCACCGCCCACACAGAAGAGTGACCCACTTGGGCCTTCAGAGCCTAAAATGCTGCTGGCAGGGGTTCGAGCAGGGGGCTCTGTCTGTGAGGCTCCGGATTTCCTTTCTGCTTCCACAACACTCTGCCTTGATGAACTCGGTGGGGACTCTTGAGCCACAGTCTGTTTCGCCTTGTTCTTCATATCTTTCTCTTTCAGCTTGACTTTCGTTTGCCTGCCCCTTGGGTCACTGGCGGCTTCCCCCGATGCTTCATTGCCCCTGTGTGCGGACCGAAGCAGATTTCTGTTGTCACCAGGCAGATTTCTCTGGGCAGGACTGACTGCTTCTATTCCCCCCTTTCCAAGCTTCACCCTCGGACCGCCATTAGACACGCTGGATTTCCTGGACTTCTTTGGGGAGACTTTCGGGGAGAGACCAGTGTTTTTGAGCAGATTTGAGTCAGGGGGCCTCTCTGGTGCGGTCGTCACAGTCTGCCCCATGGAAGAAGTGCATTTGGGAAGAACACCACTGTGAGATGAAGCTGAGGTTTGGCAGCTGTCCAGCTCCTTGGCGATGGGAGCCAATTTGCAGTGAGGGAGGTGAGTTTTCAGCCTTTTGAACAGCCTGCCACAATATGGACACAGCTGCCTTTCAGCTGTCAGCAACTGCTGATCTGCACCGTAAAAACAAGCATAAAAGTATGAACAGGAATGTCTTTGTTACAGCACCATACAAAGGTAAATATATTTTATATTCGATTAATTAAATTTTTAAATCCATTTTAAATGCCTGCTAAATGTGAATTTTGATATTTTATAAAATGTGTTAAATAAAAAAATATTGTTAATTACTGTAATGAGTACAAAAATGTAACGGGATTTTAAAGGTTGATTCGAGATACAGTGGGTGCAGAATATCACAGTCCTGTTTTTAAAAGCCTCTTAAAAATATCATTAATTAAAACGGTTATTTAAGAATAGCACTTTTAGTGGTGAATAATTTATAGACCAGGGCCTAAATTCAGTATAAGTATTTCGCACATTAATCTCATAAATTGCAAATGGATGTCATATTTTAAGCACTGGAGTAAAACATTAAAATCTGCTACCTACCTGAAGTCATGTCTCCATTCATTAATTAGTCTTTATAAAATTATTTATAATTTCATTTGTAAACTTCCGCCACTTAAAAAGAAACTTACTAATGGAAACTTAAGTTATTCTTTATTGTGCAGATAACAGCGTGCCATACATTATTTAAAGCATTAGAATGATCAGTCCTGTCTTCTTAGCTGTATTTGAAGCTGACTGTTGATAACCTGAATCACACGTTTGTCTGCATGTAACATGGCACGCACTGGAAAAGCACGTCATTCAAAGACCATGAGGGTGTCGCTGGCAAATGCCTGACTGAATCGCAACACGAATCTTTACGTAACACCAGAATATCTCTCAGATATTTATATGAAAGGCAAATACAGCAGTTGAGCTCATATGTTTCCTTTCTTTGGCAAAGTGGATTTGTTTATCACAAGGCAGGCTGCGGGTAACCGTGCTGCCGCCGCCGTGCCCGTGCCCGCAGCCGATTGCGACGTGCCCCCGCACGCCTCCTTCCTGGTTGCGCAGCCGTGACGTCATGTAAACAGCAGCAGCTGTGTGGACAGACGGAGGTCCGGGGCCGATCGGGCTGGGGGGCGCATTGGGGCGTGGAGGAGCCGGCACAAAAAGCGCCGCTTTCGCGCAGATCGGCTGCTTTTTTGAATAGGGGTCCTCCTTCTGCTTAGCCATGGACATCTGCGTCCAAGCTTGGGGGATTTATTAAGCCGGGGACGGGGGCGCTTTTTTGCTGAGGAGTCCCTTCGTCGTATTTACTGTTTCACTTTTTTGCTCTGTTTATGCCAATCAGATACGTTTAAACGCAGATCGGCTCGTATTTTGCTATTTACCCTCTCTTTTTGCGTTTGGCCGTCCAGACGGGGAGTTTGCTCTGTGTCGCCCGTCGCCGTCCCCTGTCACCTGTTTTCCGGGGGTCTTCGGCGTTTTCCGGTGGCGCGGACTTCGGTGGACGCACGAGCCTTAACCCAGCGTGCCGTGAGCCGTTTTGGTTTATATTAGTTTTGTTGTTGTTTTTTAAGTCCGGTTGTGCGGAGAGGGCGGATCGGGGCCTAGCAGAGTGACAGTCTCAAGGAAGCCGACACTCAGACGCCGACGGCCAGCTATCGCCGTGCCTCGCTGACGCCTGAAGAAAAGCCCCCTTCCGGGGTTGATCTTCATCCGGCCGGACTGCGAGGGCATCTCGGGGCGATCCGTGATGAAGGACGGCGCTGAGCGGCTGTAGATCGATCCCGGGACCAGCTTTACCCACCGGACCGTGACTGAGGTCTGCCGTGGGCGGCAGGGAAGCTCTTCATCTTAGGGCTCGGACGGGCGGCCGGCATCGGCTGGCCAGCGATTTAGATGTTAACAGAAAACAGGTAAATTCCACATTTAGTTCTGTCTCCTCGGCTTCTGTTGGTGGTGGACGTGTGCAGTTATTTATGGCCCAGGGTTTGCCTTATTATACATATTTATATGTAATCGCTTATATATGCTGTGTTGCGCGCTGTGCTCGGGTCGTGACCGTGTGTCTTATGACAAACTGGAGTATTTTCCCTGCCGGAGGTGGCATGCATTTCGCCGTGAGGAGGCCCGTCTCGGCCGGCCTGCTCTCCTGTCACGCCGGTGTCGCGCTGACGAAGATGAGCTGTATGTATAAATAAAATCGGTCACGCCGTGCCGTGACTCATCCGCGCCTTCATGGAGTCATGGGCCAGGTGGCGGGGCCTAATCGGGACTGTCAGCTGGCTCCCTGTGCCACACCAGGGCGCATAACGGGGGTCCGGTCTGTAATTACTCTCCCCTGGTGGTGCTGTGTATTTTGAGCGCCCTGCTGACGGCCTCACAGTGGCGCCTGGCTGCGTCTGGCCGGGTGCGCGTGAGCCCGCGTGTGTGTGCCCGCGCCCGCACGCGCGTGCCTGAGTCCTGCAGGTGCCTACAGATGCCCAGGCTGGTATGCAGTGCTTACCTGAGTGCTCCCCTCCCCCATCCTCCATGCTTGTGCGCCCATTACAGGAAACGGCGGCGCAGCTGTGGCAGCGACGACAGCCAGACTCTACCGCAGGCAAAGAGGTCAGGGGGGTCTCACCCCCTGTTCACCGAGCTGGGTCACGATGCCTGGGACTCTGAGGTGAGCTCCTGCCCCCACACACACAACCGCGCTCCCTGCTGCATGCTGAGAGAATCTTGTCTTGTCTTTCTGAGAGGTGCATAGGCAATGCAGAGGTATCAGTGCCCCTCCTGCAGACCAGCAATCTCTCAGCCCCCCCCCCCAAAAAAGGGCGTCACTTTGTAGTGCTGAGTTTTGAGCGATGGCAGGACAGCTGGGTGTCCCTGTTTGGAAGGCTGGCCCCTGACATCTCTCAGGACAGGGCAGACGTGTCTTGTCTTGGCTGGGTCGCCAGGTCTCATTTCGGGCCTTGATTTCCGCTTAACAGTATGTGGAGGAGTCATTCTTAGCCCTGATACCCCTGTCAAGGGCTGATTAAAATACAAGGGTTTATGTTTATTTAAAATTGATGTGCTTGATGCAGTATTTATTCAGATTTGAGTGTAACAGTTTCTGCTGTAGTCTGTGCCTTGTCTTGTGGAGAAACCTGAACATTCACTACCTTATTGTCATATCAGGTTTTGTAGTTGCAGGATAAAGGATAAATATTGGGGTTTACGAGGCGTGTTTATTGATGCCGAGATCCGCCCCATGTTTCCCCCTGTTCGCCACTGTCTCTGAACGTGTGCAGTCGTGCAGCAGTGACAGCAGCGTGCTCAGCAGTCCGGAGCAGGCCAACGGTGGCACCAGCACCAATGTTGGAGGCACTAACACCCAGTGCCCGACAGACAACAGGGGGAGCCGGTCCACCCCCGGGCCCTGCAGCCCGGCCGGCCCCGCCCACCACGCAGAGGAGCCGTCCGTGAGTCTGGGTTCCTACCACCACATCAATCGAATCCTGCGGGAGGCTCATTTTGCCAGCCTGCAGACCCGTGGCCACCAGGGGGCCTCGTGACGATCCCCCCGCCCTGCACACACACCCTGCTGGAGAGGACCCGACCTGAACCTCGCACGACTTCCTGTGCTCAGCCTAACAACTTCCTGTTTTTCAGCTAATTTAGTCTATACAGCACTTACTGGTTTTGTTTTTGTTTTGTTTTGCTTTCTTTTCCCATGCGTGAGTGGGGATTGTGCTCTCTGGTGTAATATCTCAACATGGGTGCTAATTCTAGGAAAAACATTAATGTGACCATTGTTTGCAATAATAACAGATACTGAAATGTGTTTGGGCAGTTTTTTGCATTTGTCAAGCTGGGTGAGAGTGGCTAAGGTTTGGTGTTGGGTTGGTGAGCTTTTCTGGACAGCCGATCCAAGTTTTGTTTGGTAGGTCTGGTTTGTTTCATGTGCAAATGTCAGTCAGACAGCCAAATGCTGATAGGCCGATGGGAAAGGAGTGGGTGGTCCTGATAAAGAAGGGGCAGGCCACTTTTAAACTCCACCCACTGGCTCTGCGTGTAATGCTTCTCATTTTAGTGAATTCTAGCCAAAGCTGTTTGCCTTTAGCTTAGAGTACTGTATAGTGGTCAGAAGTTAATTAAAAAATAATTTAAAAAAAACACTTCGGATATTAGGGTTCCACATCAGCACATGGAAAAATAAGGTTTCGGAGGACTTGGTGTGAGCTTTAAGCATCTGCCCTGTGGGAGGCGCTTTTGAGTATCTGCGAGTGTGATATGGAGGCAGACCCTGGTGGCTCTTTGCCGCTGTTCCAGTTCCTGTTTAGGGGGGAACATTTCAAGGCGAGCCGCATGGGGCTGTTGCATGTTTTCAGCTGGGATTTGCACCCCCCCCCCTCCCCTCCCCTCCCCTCATAGCACCTTAGCCATAATGCTCCAGTAGAGGGGACTGTGGTGCTGATGCTGAAAGCTACCCCGACAATGCACCTCTCCCCAGTAGTGGCGTAGCAGAAGGACCCAGAGTGCACTGGGGGTGTTGGCTTGCCTGTAGTAAGACAGCCAGGTGGGGATGTTTGTGAGAGGATTGTAAACCTGTCAGCTGACTGGGGCGATAGGGGTTGTCTGCCTGACCACACGCACAAAAGTTGTAGCACTCGTGCTGTTGAATGCCAGTGGCCCATGATTTCACTGAAGTCCAACAGTCCCCCGGGCAAAGAAGCCACCCAGATGGGATCATAAGGGAGGCGTGGCTACTGCAAATTATACTGTGCAGAACCATAGATGCTAACATTAACTGGATGGTCTGCCAGCAGCCAGGCAGGTAAGCATTTGTCCATCCAGCCGATATTCAGATCAGCATGTCTGCCCGCACAGCATTGATAGAACCCTTATCCCTTTGACCAATCCCGTTTCACAAGGTGCTCACACAGGCTCCGCCCCCCTCCCCTATCAGCACTCTGTGCTGGCCTTCCCTGTCACTGTGTTCTGTATACTTGTTGGGGTGGGGGAGGGTTAAATTTAAAAAGCAGCATTTGATTATTCATGTTTTGTATTTACAATTGTACATTGCCTTTTGGCCTACATTGAAGTTTAGGATTTTTTTTAAATCCATCTCTTACATTTGAAAATAAAATTTAAATTTTTGGTTTTTAAAATCTCTCCTCTTTTGTAACTGGTTGAACCCAAGTCTGTCTGTCTCACATATTTTTTGTCAGAGTGTTTTAGCACAGATTAGAACTGATGGTTTTTACATTTCGATCCCAGTATGTTGCAGTAGGGGTGTCTGTTACTCACCCAAGCCACATTCTTCCATGTAAAAATCCTCCTTCAGCATATTGCAGTTACCTGTATGGACTAGCATTCATAATATACTAACACACCACAGCTCTCTCCTGCCTCCTAGCGGTTTGTGATGGCAGCACGTTTGTCATATAACCCAGGGGTGGCCAATCTTATCCAGAAAGGGCCACTACAACTCCGTAATTAGATTACTAATTAGAGGACTGACTGGCTGAAGAGTCATCACTCCTAAAGGTTATCCCAAAAACCTGCACCCACACCGGCCCTGTGCTGATGAGACTGGACATCCATACAAAGGCATATAACTTGAGACCAAAAATGTCTTTCCAGATAATTTATTCTAAAAGTGTTTTCTTTACCGAAGTCTTTGCAAGCAAAATATTTTTCTCAACTCCCGCATCCACAAACAAGAATTTGTTCGTTGACAGGAAATGCTGTTAGTCCCTATATATAGACAGGAAACATGAACTGTGGAAGACTAAAATGGAGAAAGGGCATATTTCACACCACATAGCCTGTAACCATGGAAGCCTTATGGTTGCCAAGACACACGGAGGATAGCATATCGACAGGGCCCTTCCGAGCAGTTTGCCTGGTTAACTTGGCTGCCGCCCCTTAGTGGTGAACCTGAGGTAATCAGGGTGGCTGGCTTGAGAACTGCCACCCCTCACCTCTGCCTTTCTGTGGGGTAATATGCATGACAGGGGGATGGCCGCAAAACAGGATTTCTTTCTTAGCCGGATAACTTGTCGGATTTAAGGTAGTCTGGTCTAGATGTAAGGGAACAAAAGATAATGTCCATTTAGGTCAGACTACCTTAAATCCAACTAGCAATTGCACTAAGCAAGAAATCCTGTTTCGTGGAACACAACACCCCCCCCCTCCCCCCAGTGCTGCTTGCAGGGGTATTTCCAAAACCTGCAGGAGTCCAAACAAACACTGATGAAATGTGAGCAAAGACGACGGCCCCCCAACCCATCGAGGACGCAGAGTAACGACGGTCAAGAAACAGAAGTGCTCCACAGTTTGGAGTCACCTTCAAAGAAAGGCAGGTTTTGTGAATTAGAACTGTTACAATAACATGGTAAAAATAGTAACGGAACAGAAGGACGAGGAGGGTGATGCAGCCGACAAGGTGTCTCCAGCGGCGTGATCCCCTCTGTGCAGGAATCCGCATGGTGGGTGAAGCAGCCCCCCTGCTAACAGTAGCCATGTAGGGTTTCACAGGCTTCCCTGTCTGGCTGCACTCTGACAAACATTTGTGGTGCAAATACGCAAAATAATAATAAACCCTGATTTATCATCTTAGTGTTCAGGTACAGTGCATTCTGCTTTCATTAACACCAGCAATGTGGGTATCTCCCATGCTACGTGTTCAGGAAGGAAAAGGCAGAGAGCTGCTGGGAGTCCGGGGGGGGAGTGGACCTGCCAGGTTGGTGCCCCGGCGACGGCCGCTCTCCGCTGCCCACGCCTGCCGGCGGAGCTGGGGGGCACACGTGCTTGCTCCTGGTCACCAGCTCCATGCCGCTGAAGAGAGACGGCCTTCCTGCGGCAGCGGCAGAGTGGAGGCCTGCCTGCTCATCGTGGTCCTCGAAGTCAGTAGGCCGCCATAGCTCAGGTTCTGACATCTCGCTCGGGGCCTCGCGGCCGGTGCTGTCCGTCTCCGGCCTCCCCCTCCCAGCTGCTGAGGCAGCCTCATTTTGGCCGTCCCCAACCACTGGGTGCGGCGCCCCCGCCTGGCCATCTGAGGCTGTGCCTAGGGAGAACACAAGGGCTCCAGGCAGCTTGGAGACGCTGTCCAGTGGGGGTGGGTCGGTGGTGGTGGGGCAGGATGCAGTGTCTGGTCTGACCCCACCCATCAGAGCCTCAAACTGCCTGAGGAGCTGGGAAACACATCCAACACACACAGATGTAAAATAACTTCTAAGGTACTCCTCTTTGTTCAGCATCTTAACTTGTGCTCATCACATTTTTTAATCTTTTCATTGAAAAAAAGTCTGACATATTCAGCTTTTGTTAAATAAAGTGGGTGGACCAAGTAATACAAACACTTCCGGTTACTGTTTTGAGGAAAAGTAGCATTTCCTGGAACACTACAGATGTAAACCAAGTCCTCGTCCATCTTTTCCTCAGACTTACCTTTGTTGCCTTGGTGCAGACGGGGCCTGGTGGACCCTCACTCAACCGGACCAGACACTTGTGTGTGGCACCAAACATGTGGTCCAAGGACAGCAGGTCAGAGGACATCAGGCAGGCGATGGCACACAGCGCCCTCTGGTGGCCAGAGCAGCAAAGCACATGTCAACACAACTCGCACCGAACAGGTGGCATTCTGTATTACAACTCCAGAGCTCAAGGGCTTCCTTCTGCACTTTTTAAAAGCTTATTTTACACAACAACCTAATATCTCTTCATCTAACAAAAGTATTAGCTGAGGGCTATCACTGTGAACGTGTTACACCAGTTATCCATCCTGTAATGGTTTCATTTCAATAGCTTAAGGTAGAGTATCATTGATTATTTTGTAGTACTGATAATCCACTTCTGGATTATTACATTTTTGCTTCACAAATGATGAAAAAACTGCCATTAATGATACATAAACACACTTGCAATACATTTATATAATTACAGATTTTCCTTTGACTAAAACAAATGAGGAAATTAAAATCTAGTTTTAACTTGACGTCACTTGTCACTCTGTCCTTTGACGGCTCTTGAAGCTAATGAATTACGCAGGGAAAGAGTAGAGCGTAGTCCGCTCTGGGGTCACGGCGCCTGGCGCTCTGCCATTGTACCATTTGGACCAAGTGGATGGGCTCCGGCAACCTTTGGCACAGCAGCTGCAGTACCACCTCGCAGTTCAGTATGGCGCACCTGGGTCGGGACAGATGCATGATGGGAGAAGACGTAACTATGACCTGAAACATTAACGGAATGACCAAGCTAACTAAATGACACGTCCCCCCCCCCACAAGAGACTGACTCTTTGATGAAGTGCTGGGACTCCTCCCTGGACAGGAAGGCCTTGGAGCCTTCGGTCAGGCTATTGATGAGAGCCACCTCCTGGCCACAGTCCCCCGGGTGCATGGCCTCGGCCCTGCGGACACAGAGGGGGCGGAGTGACGGGCATGTGCGCTGCATGGCGGTCACACACCGGCGGGCTTTGAAATGGACACCCGTACCGCTCTGATAGGTCCCCGCTCTCCCGGCTGGCCCCCGATTGGCTGTCCGTCCCAGACCTGCCGCTGCTGCCCACCAGCGACGCCCGGCTGGCATTGCCGTTCTCCTGGGAGGAGTCGCGGGAGCTGTGGCCGCTGTCTGTGTCCTCCCAGCCCCCTCCTGCCAGGCCAGGACACCTCGGAGCTGTTGTGGGGGGGGGGGAGGAAGGTCACCATTGCCGGCGACCATGTTGTCTAGGTAACCGCACATGTTGGCATGACACGTTTTTTTTTTGGGGGGTGGGGGTGTAGATCAGAGGGGCCATACATGCGCCCACCTTATCATTAGCCAGTGATATGTTTTAAATCGGTGAGTGACAGGGAAGGTGCCCAATCGGCTTTCATCTGGGGCCCCTATGTTCATCCCGGCGTCTTACTGAGCATGTCAGTGTGTTAAACTTACCCTGTGTGCCCCTCGATACACCACGTAGGGTAAAACCATGTAACCATGTATTTCTGAGTATTCACAACATCTTTTATTCATTATTATGCACTTAATATTACAGAAGGTAAGATCATCTGCTGAATTAATAAACATGAATGTGGGGCAGAGGCGTAACTTGAGCCCAGACACCAGTGTCTGTATGTGCAGAGTGTTTGATAGAGGTGTCGTGTTATTATGGGGGGGATGGGGGGGGGGGGGGGGGGGGGGGGGGGGGGGGGGGGCACATCTAAAAGAACCGTGATGAAGAACCTTCAGCACTGCATGATGCCCACATGATGCCCGCAGCTGGGTCTGCTGCAATGCCATTAGCATCATTTCTCTGAGGTCTGGTAGTATGACGCTTCCCCCCCCCACTCACCTTTCAGCCCATGGGAGGGGAGGCTGTAGGCACATGCTGGAATCGCCACCTCCACCGCAACAGAGGGCACTGCCACTGCCTGGTAGCGGTTGTCACGGAGTCGGATGCCGGGGTGCTCAGCCGGCGGGAGCACGGCGCTGGCCACCACCTCAGCTGCCTTCTGGATCTTGTCCAGGAACCCCCCACCTGACAGAAGCAGGAAGTGACACCATTACGGGTCACGTGACCATGCTAGATGCATGGACAGGGAGGTCATTTAACATAAAACACCCTGGGATTCTACAGGAGACAGTGACAGGAGATTAATCACTAACCCAGTGCATGCAGAGGCTCAGCTGACCCTGAATGGACTGATAGACAGGCAGGCAGGCAGGCAGACTCAGGCAGGCAGGGAGACACACACAGGCAGGCAGGTGGGCATACATATAGGATGGTGGACAGACAAGCAGACAGGTGGACAGACAGGCAGGCGGGCAGACAGGCAGCCACGTACCTGAGGGATGCTTCCCAGGGCTGTACCCGAATCCTTGCATCCCTGACGTTATTGCCGACTCGGAGCCCATGCCTGGGGAGGGGGACAGGGACAGGAGTCAGCGTCACCTACGCTGTCCACTCTGCGTAAAGGCCGGTCCGCTGGCTGCTACATTCTGACTGCAGTTTGTAATCCCTGCCGTGAGCAGCTTCGGGGGTGTGGCAACTCTCACCCATCGGGGGTGTGGCAACCCTCCGCGGAGACGGAGCGGCCTGCGGGGACACGCTGTCTGTGAAGAGTTGGCTGGCCAGCTCCTGGAGGAGGAGGTGCAGGAGAGACACGGAGTAGAGCGTGTGTGTGAGAGTGAGAAAGAGGGAGAGAGGGACCGGGTGAGGAGAGCACCATGCTGTCTCCACAGGCTGTTACTGACCCCACAGTAACCAAAAGAGCAGAGAGCATGGAGGACACTGGCACACGAGGGCCACAGACACTTAAGGTCTGCAGAGGATCTTAACATGTCAGATGATGAGAAACATACACAGCGGGGACTGACCTGTGCAGCAAGTCGCACTCTCTGGTACAGCGCCGCGCCGTGGATGGGGTCTGGGGGCCCACTGTACACTGGGGGAGGCAGACCCATACATTCAGAAGGTTCTAACCTCTGCTGTTAGATACAGGGTAGCCCGAATGGGGTGACAGCCCATCACGGGGCACTCATGCAGGCATGAAAATAGTCATACGGTCCATGCAGCTGTTAAAGCGACAAACAGGTGTATGAAATGCAACAATATCCTACCTTTAAAGTCTACAGTCATTATGCATAATGTTTTATGCTATCAGTTATGAGAGTAGGGTTAAAAATTCTGGGAATTTTCCATTGATTCCCATAAATTCGGTAATTCCCATGTTTCCAAAATTCCTGAATTTAACTTCCCATTGAATGGAAAGTTTCTAGAAAGTTTCTTTGCAACCCTACACAACAGCAGAGCGGCATGTGTTATAGTCACCGCCAATACCATCCCACCTGTCACTTCCTGGATGAAGGTGGCGTTCCGGCGGAGTTCCGTCAGGAAGTGAAGAGATCCAGTAACACAGAGATGCTGGAGGATCTTCAGCACCTGAAACGTTCGAGGAGAGCCAGCCAGAAACCTGTCAATATCTGGAAACCACTTCCACACACAGAGAGTCCCTTTTCCCTGCCTGAAGCTAAGGACCCGCTCACCTTGAGCTTCACGTGACAGGACTCTGTCTGCAGCCGCTCCAACAGATACTCCAGCAAGCACTGACAGCAGCCCACGGACTCATGGGAGATCTCTGTCATGCTGGTCAAGATGCATGTCAGCACTTGAGGTCCAATTCAAATACTGCCAGCACTCTCTCTTTAAATAATTCTAACAGCTTTTATTTGGCAGAAAGGTCCATTAAGTGCAGCTACATTAAGAATGTCGCTTTCACACGGGAATATAGTATTATACTGCTGCATATATGATGAATAGTTATATTACACTGATATCTGCAAAGGATACTTCCGATTTCTTCGAACAGATAACCGGGGCAGGGCGTTTCGTCATCTGCCGTGGCCTTCATCAGAGTGGGCACCTATGACATGCATCGCATAGTCAGGACTGACCGGCTGTCCCGAATCTCTACCCTGGCGCGACCTCGGGGGGACCCCCACCCCCCAAGCAAAGCCTTGAGAAACACTGACATTACGGGTCAAAATGAAGCGCGCAGACTAACGTAGAGCCCAACAACATGCCGCTTCGAATGGTCAACCAGAAAGTTTGAACGGAGAGCATAATTATACGGTGTGGACGTGGTGACCAAGCCGCGGAACGTAGTTATAATAAGCAAGCAATTATCCGCACGGAGGACTTATTGGGATGGATCTGTAATCTTGCTTGGCTAGTTATAAGAGCATTAAGGTCAATAATTAATTAAGACACCTTTACATGTAAAAACAATCAATGTGGCTCGAACAAAACTAGCATTTTAATTAAAATGAACAGTCGCCGAACCTACTTTTTGAAGGAAAGCCAGGCGTTCCATAAGGGTTGCCATGATGTTGCACTGTCAGAACAGTCCGATCTCCCATGGCCTGTGGGCAGGACCAGCATGAACAGTCAGCCAAATAAAGACCGGAACGTCAGCATCCTTCAATGTGATTGGGTACTTGAGATCGTAATAGTTGTGGCGGCCTATGGAATTACTGATTGACGTCCGCTTTACCTATCGGAACAGGCCATTTTGTTCCAGGAGGTGGGACCTCAAACTCCAGACCGACATCATGGCGACGTCCATATGGATGGGTGGTAGGTAAACAGAAGGCGCTCTCTTCTGCACGAACCAGGTGTCACCCGGTGGTTAAAGCAAACAAAAAAAGTTTTTTCTCATATATGCATCATTTAAACCCGATAAATTGACGTCCAAGCAAACTATTCGTTTCGTTAATCGAAAAGGCACAAATCAAAAGCTAGCTGGCATAGCACAATGTCAGGCGCGAACGTATGGACGCGAAGTCGGGAGAGAATGAAACGATTACCGGAGCTGTTTGCCCAGTGTGGCCCAGAGGTGAGTCGACTTCTGGCTTCTGCCAGTACGAGCTCAGAATATAGCTAGCATTTTAAATGAGACTATCTGAAGCTGTCATAATAAAAGTCCCTAATAGCGTACTAAAACATTTCTAATGCAGGCAACAGCTTACGGGAAATGCGTGACTGCAACCACCTCAAGTAAAGAGGAGCTGAGAAAGGACCTTTGCATAAGAGAATTTGAGGCACTGAAAACTTGTATACTTTCTGCGGTAAGCAGTTAAGCTACCTTTAACTGCTCCGTCGTCACTCATCTATGATCAGGCAGCTGCTGAAGAACAAATGCGGCTGAAGAAACTAAGGCTGGGAAACTGATCCTAGATCAGCTGTTCAGTGCAGTGCTGGAGCTGTGGAGCTGTATTTAGGACAAGTTAATGAATAAGGGCACCAATGACCTAGTCCAACACTCCAACACGACAGTTTAACTGTTGTCAAATGCACTTCCGGATTTTTAACGGATTTCAGTAAATAATACAGAAAAACCCTTATAAACATAATTTTTAGCTTTCATAATTTAATCAAATGCTTAGAAAAGCGATTCTGTAATTTCTCAGTTATGACACCCTAGGCGAGGTGATTTTATGCGGCTCTATATAGAGAATTTCCCTATAGTATAATGTATCTATTTTTGTACACTTACAGAAGGTTAGGTTACAGTGAGGCTACAGTAACATCCTGCACTAGGCGCACACCTCTCTGTACAGTGTAGATACGTCAATGTTCAGCATCTTACACAGATTCTTTCCAGACGCAGCACCTTGTTCACATCTGTCATTTTCTGACAGGCTAAGAAGACTGTGAAGTAGCTACCTGCTAAAGCCAGTGTCCCCTATTGTAAGAAGAGCGCCTCCCACTGGATGTCAGTGTCATGGCATCGGATCAGCTGTCACTGCTGCACGCGACGCACCGACATTCCTGAAAAGGACAGTATAGGCAGTAATCTCAGCTTTCATATGAGGCGACATTTCTGTACAGGTGTAAAGTGTAAATATAATGTACTGTGTGGGTGTAAGATTGTTCCGGTTGTAAAGCGAAAGCACTCCCAAGACGTGCATTTGAAATGGTTGGCCAAATGAAATAAATTGTAGTTTACGCCTGAATCCTGCTTTGAATTAGGCCCGGAAAGCGCTGTATGTGTGCCGTGTTCTCATTGATTTTCATTTCGGCGCTCATGTTATCAGATGAGGGCGGCACGCTGCCTGTGTGAGACGCAGAGTCACCTGGGGAGCTGGACTGGCGCCTGTTTCTCATTGTCATACTGACATCATTACCAGCAACATTACATGACCGTCACCTTTCACTATAGTTTCAATCTCTGGTTATATATCACATACATGAAAAAATGTAAATATTAATTTCAACCATCTTGGCACTTCCATGTTATTAAAGGAGAAATTAGAGGCTGCCTTTGTACCAGAGCAGACAACCCAGTCTTGGCTATAATTATAATTATTATGTCGATAAGTTAACAGAACGTGAGGTGAAGTGCAGTAGATTTCAGGTATGCTATCTAGCTCCAAGTGAGGGTACACAGAATAACGTGACTGCTTGCTGGTCAACTTTACGATCTTTTCTAACTTCAAATATGCTATCATTGGTGGTCGTTATCAGAGGCATGCTCATTGTAGAAAGATGGGGCTGGCAGTGGTGACGCGCACCTTGCATCCGGTGCTGGGTCACGGGGGCGGCAGCCATACGCGCTGAGATATGAACCGCGATGTTCAGGACGGACACATGAAAAGCAGCTTAATTGATAGGGGACGCGACCTGCAGCCGGACTCCAGGCAGACTGATTACGCTGCGCCGTCTCATTAGCGGCTCCGCTGCGGGGCCCCGCACTCCCTCGTTAGCGAGATGTAAATGGCGGCACGGCCGTAAAACCCGTCACTAATGACTTGTGACAGGATTTTAGCTCGGAGAGCTTGGAAATTAGAACTGGCCGTTTGGGTTGTTTTTTAACGTCAGACTCTGCCTTTGAAGGGCGATACCCTGGGACGGCCTGTTTTTAATCATTTTTGTCTCACCGACTCGCTAATGATGGTTTACAATTCACCAGAGGATGGATTCTACCAATTCCTGCCTTTATTCTTCGACGAGGGGAGTTTTTTTTTTTTTTTGTCTTTTTAATGACGCATATTTTGCCAAGAAGGTGGACAATCTTCACGGGCTTTCCATCTTCCCTCCAGCGGGTTTTTCTCGTACGTATGAATGGCCACCTTAGATTAAAAGAAACTTAAAAAAAAAAAAAACTCAGTGAGAAACTGACAATCACCCCTATAGCTACAATTTCATAGAGAATAATAACAGGATCAAGCATTTTTAAAGAACATTATTTATTGAGATCTTTGTTTTAAATTAGTTTTTCAATGCTGTAGGACTCAAATACAGTTTATCACTTAATCACAGGACTTTCTCCATTTACAAACGTCCTTTTTTGGTAACTTTGTGCGGATCATTTGGTTTTCTATGAAACAACATAGAGAGGCCAATTTTCAGCCAAACCATCACAGATGCTCACAGACACACTAAACACTACATATGCTTACAGTTTGTCCCTCAACAGCAGTTCTTGGGGGGCAAAGTTAATTATGACCTTATGAATTGAAAGTGAATCTGTCTGGATCTCTTGGAATGTCTAGCATGTTCTAATGTGTACATGCACACAACAAACAAAAAGAAATGTTTACATGATGACACAGGCACTTAAAGGCAGAAAGCCCCCAAACACCGTAACAATAACAGGCATGGGAAACACCCCATTTTACACAAGTCCCTGAAGCACAGTGTATAAATGTACATTTATATTAAGGCACAGGGTGGAAGAACATTCAGAAGAAGAGAATGTGGAATGCTGGGATACTGGAGGTGCTGGATGCTACGGCTTGAAGGGAAACTCCATAGAACACCGCCCCCCCCCACCCCAGCGACAAATCTTCTGTTCAGTCTCATCCCCTCTGGAGATGCACCCAACTGTCCTACAGTTTAGGTGTGAATCCAAGTACTCAGCTGGTCCTGTATTTACACTGGAATATTCAACATTGTACTGGAAACGATTACTCTGCAGGGGAGTGCATGTGAAATTCAACGATGACCTCAAAAGGACTGTGATCCTTTGAAAAACGAGAGGCGTAACATTTAAATAGGAAGAGTCAGACTAAACGAGCCACTGCAGCACTAATGAGAATATTTAAGTTCTTAAACTGACCTAACTCAAGTAGACTGATGTCTGACATAATAAAACAAATCCTAACAAATCAAAGCAGCCCCCCTCCTTGAAAGCAAACTGCACAGAGTTTCATAAAGCTTTTGGTCCTAAATCGCTCCTGGGTGTAAAATACACAGATCGACTATAAAGCAAGATCCATTATAAAAATATCAGTGATTGAAGGTCTTTGGAAAAATAGGAGATATCCAGGTGGGGGGGAGGGGGACAGGGAGGTAACCCAGGGCTCAGAAATACAGGATGCAGTCATACTGCGTCAGGTGACGTCACGTGAATCAGGTCGTGGCGAACCAGCCACCTGGGGCAGGCGGGTTTACAGATAAGTGCCACAGCTTAAGGCAAAGTCACGGAAGGGTTCAGTCACTGAGCTATGGAGAAGTGGCGTGTGGCGTCCGTGCTCGGGGCTCGGACTGGACGAAGACCAGACAGGAGATACCAGGTGTCAGGCTCCAAAGAGCAAGGAGTAGAGCCGCTGATCTCCTGCGAGCTGCCACCCGCACCCCAGCCGACCTGGAGGGAGAGGGCAGAGGACGCACGGCCCAGACAGGAAGGGAGAGACCCCCCAGGAGGAAGGGAGAGACCCCCCAGGAGGAAGGGAGAGACCCACCAGGAGGAAGGGAGAGACCCACCAGGAGGAAGGAGAAACCCGAAGTCCCTCTGACCCACGCGTCCACACACAGGCCCCCTCCCCAGGGTCCTCCTGCTGAAGGGCCACATGTGAATACTAAAAACAGCTGTGTGAGGGAGGAGGAGGTGGAGGAGCAGGAGGAGGTGGAGGAGCAGGAGGAGGTGGAGGAGCAGGAGGAGGTGTTATCTCTCCTTTTCAGTGTGTGTGGCCTCTTTGATTTGCCGGGTGTGGACCAGTGCCCCCCCCAGGAGCTGTCCCTCCAGGGCAGCGTGAAGATCAGATCCACCCAGTTCCAGCAGGGGCTCCAGCCCTGGGACACCCCCGGGCCCAACCTCGCGTCGCCTCCTCTTCAGGTCCAGCTCCTCCAGGTGATGATTATCACCCTCCTGGGCCTCCTTACTCACAGGGCCCCCCTGCTCGATGGGCATCTCCTTCCTCTCCACCTCTGCCTGTGATTGGATGCTTTGCTTCAGGTCTCTTCCACCCTTTTTGATTGGCTGGTCCTCCCCTTCCTGTACTCCACCCGCATTCTTGGCAGCACCACCTGGGGCCTCGACGACAGGCTGCTGTGGGGCAGCCCCCTCGTGGAGCTCCAGCCCCGGCCCCTGTTCTCCCCCCACATCTTTTTGGCCCCTCTCCTTCTCCGGCTCATTGTCCACCTTCTTCTCCTGCTTTTCCAGCTCCCTGTTAATCCTCTCCACCTCCGGATGGTCCACAGCCCCCGCTTTCACCCCGGCCCCGCCAACGTCACCCCCCTGTTTGATCTTAGGTTGGGCGTCGGCCTGGGCTTCTCCTGGGGGGGGCTTCTGTACCAGTGGTACCCCCCTGGCCCCCATCTCCTTTCGTGGCTGTTCCACAGCCCCGTCTACAATCACCTCCTGCTTCGCAGGCCTGGAACTGGACACTTGGGGATCGGGGTGCATGGCGCCCCCCAGAGGTCCAGCCATCCCTTCCTTCACCACCTTATTGGCTGGCTGAGCAACAACCTCTTGCACATGCTCCTGAGTATCTGGGCCAATCTCTTTGACCTTCACTCCTCCATCCGCAGGCTGCAGCTTCTCCTTCCGGTTCTGCTCTGCCTCTGGGTCTGGCTGTCCTTCTTTGGGGGGGAAACAAACATGGATCTCAGTGCCTAAACATTACTCTTTGACTGTAGCCCCACCCTCTGTGTGGGCGTGCATCTGCTCGCTGCGGCCGCATGCTGGTGCTCACCTGCTCCTCTTTGCTGCTGCCCCCCCCCTCCGCCCACCCCCCCCTGCTGCTGCTTCTCCTTGTGCTGCTCCTCGAAGGCGGCTAGCAGCTTCTCCTGCTGGTCCAGTAGCTTCTGTTGCTGCTCCTTGATCACCTGCAGGATCTCTGCATGGTCCAGCTGACCCTCTGGATGACAGGAGGGGGGCGTAAGAGAGCCAACGTGAGGGTCATGCCAGGGGGGGCCCGGCCCTCAAGCCACTCCTAGCATTCCATCTCCTATTCTCACATGTATTGCCCCCACCCCCAACAGTGACTTTAGAAATTGTAACTGCATCATGGTTTGCATGTTTACTTCCTCTAGGCAGAGTTGTATAACTCAGGTCCAGAGAGTTAAAGTCCAGACCGGGATTTTGTTTCAACCAACCAGTTGAGCAGTCACAAAGAACTCAACTGGATGGTTGAAACAAAATCCTGGTCTGGACTTTAACTCTCTGGACCTGAATTACCAAACTCTGCTCTAGGGCATCATTTCTGAACCTGGTTCCTTGGGAACCAACAGTCTACATTTTTGCTCCCTCCCAGCTCCCAACATACCTGTAACAGTGTTCTTGATTAGCTGTTAGTTGGGGGGGAGCAAAAATGTGGATTCTCTGGGGGTCCCAGAGGACTGGGTTGGGAAACATCGCTCGCATTGGGAGGGTCCCTATACAACAGCTGAACTGGAGAGCAGTGGGAAATCATGGAGAACACAGTCCACCATGATGTCACTGCCTGACACCTAATCATCTGAAGACATGAAAATTGCAGGACAGTGCAGCTTCCAAGACGGAGAGCCAATGAGGCCTTTGCCAAGCAGCAGAAGCAGATGGAAAAGTCCGTACTTGTACCGCGCCGTTTACTCGCTGCGGCCGGGTTCCGGCGCAGAGCAGGCGGAGAGGGGAGGAGAGACCAGAAGGAGAGAAGTGAGCAGGAGAAAGTAGGAGTGACAAGACATCTGCAGAGATCAGAGAGAGAAGTCAGACTCCCACCACTGGCGCTCAGAGCACAGGCAAAGGGTGACGGAGCAGAGCCTGCATCGCACAGAGAAACGTGATGCCTGTGTCACCCCTGTGTAATTCCTGGGTTTCTCCAGAATTAGTGGCAAAATAAAATAGTGCAGGCTGTGTGACACACTCATATAGCTTACGTTTGCTTTCACAGACGTGGAGAGCAACAGCGACCCAGCCACCCTAGAATTATACAGTCAAAGCAGTCGGGGACGGCCTGTGGTTTTTTCACTGCATTCCGTTTGGGTTATATGGGGTGCCTGAACCAATCTTTCATTCTGCTCCAGAACAGCAGTGATCAGAGAGGCCCAATGAAGAGCCTCCCCAGGCGAGCCGCTTGCTAAATGTGCCTTTTCTGGGGGTTTTTTTCTTGTTTTCTGGGGGGTTGTAGAGCCTGCAGGTCTGTTATGTGGTCAGTGAGGGACTGTAAAGCACCACATTGCCCTCCAGCTGCACAGCGAGCTTAAAACGGCCTTGAAGCTTTTTGTCAAAGCCTGAAATAAACAGAAGTGGCCCATCTGATTCCTCAGATAAGAGGGAGAACCCCCTCCCCAGGGGAAAACTGGGCTGGTCTCTCTGTACCCAGCAGCGCTCTAACGTCGTCGAAGAGATACGAGCTAAATGAAGGGCGGGTTAGAAACGCCTCCAATGACAGAAAGCGTGTGCAGAGACACGCACACGCAGCTGGGACACGCACACACACGCGCGCACGGCTGGGACGCGCGCACACACACACACGCGCGCGGCTGGGATGTGCACACACACACACACCTGCCTCTACTCCTTATCACAGCCTGACCACTCTGACCTTGCAGATCTGCCATGCTCTGGCAAACCCTGGAGACTGAACAGGCTTTCATTACCTCCGCCTCTCTGCCTGACAAAAATGATACCCGGCTCACCCTCCACAGCAGCCTCCTTCCCTTCCTCCTTGTCCTTGGGCTCCACAACCGGGACACGGGGGTCTTCTTCTGCGGCAGGGGGAGGGTGATGGTCACCTGAACGGAAAGCGATGGAAAGATCAGTGAGCGGACCACCGGGCTGCCCCGGCCGTGCAGAGCCACCCCAGAGAAAACACTCACGTTTCTCAGAAGACACCGCCGGGGCCCTGTCCTCTACTCCTTTTCTCCTGTCCTGGGCGCCATCCTTCCCAGCATGCACCCTGTTCCCCTCAGGCACTCTGTCCAGGTCCTTGTAAGGTGGTGTGTCATGCTCCTGTTTCTCCACAGCAGCGTTGGCCATGTCGTCTGGCTTTGGGACCTCTGCAAGTTTCTTCTCTAGCTCCACCCCCTGCACATGCTCCACCCCCTGGAGATGCCCCACCCCCTGCTCAGAGTCCTTCCCTTCATCTGCTGCCTTGACCTCCTCCTCCAGCTCGTCCTTGTCTTTTCTCTCATCCACCATCACCTTGTCGTGAGGAATTGGGGGCTCGTGGCGATGGGCCTCTCCATCCGGCATGGCTATGCCTGTGTGCAAGGATGTGGGTGGGGGGGGGGTCCATAAGCATAAGGGACAAACGGCCCCATCATGGAAGAGTTACACGACTGAATAAGTACAGGGAATTTCAGGGACGGATCAATCTTAGCATGAATGCTAATGCTAATCGGCGCCATTACGGAACATCGTTGTATTGTACGATATTAATCTGGGAGTACCGCTGACTCCGTTATGACTCCCGTCCATGACTGACCTGCGTCCGGCCGGTCCAGCTGCACCTCCTGCCCCTTCTTTCTTTCTGGAATCTCCATGGGAACTTTGATCTGGGGAGGTTCTGGGGGCTCGCCCCCCCCCGCGGGCCGTGCGGGGTTCACCTGCTCCTCCTGTTTCTCCATTGGCTTGTCCAGAACCACATTCTTGACTGTGGACGAAAAGGGGAGGGACAGTCACACATGGAGGGGGAATCATTTGGGAAAGGGGGCGGAGAAAGTGAACGTGGACTGGGGCCAATCGCAACACTGGAAGCAGCACAAAAGCACGAAAGGAAAAGGCAGCCTTCTGTTCACTAAACCAGATATTTATTTATATCTACTTACAGGTTATATTGTCATTAAGCAGCGTCAGAACCAGTTTTGATGAACAGACTAATGACTAGCTGACAAGTCTTTCCAAAGCAGTGGCAAACAAACATCTGGCCACGCTGAACGTTTGGGCTCAGACAGCAGCCACCTGCACATTATGGCCACTAGATGGCAGCACCCTCCCAGCAAGGCTCAGACACAAGAGCACCCCGAACTACTCAGAGATCAAAGGGACATTTCATATACAGTCATGCTTTTTATCGCATGCCAGTGCGTTGTGAGAAATGCTAACGACCGCATCTGTCACAGACACCCGATTCAGTGTTTGGCCCGGCACCCATACAAGCGTGTGCCACCCCTTTGCCCCATAACCCCAAACATTGTTATATATGAGCCACACCCACCAGGCCAGCCAATCAGCACAGGGAGGGGCAAAGGCACACCTTTGTTTATCCGGAAGGAGGACTGTCAGACATTATCGGAAGCAGGATAAAAGTGGATGCCCCCTCCCCCCCCAGCGCTGTCGACTCCCATCATGCCGGCACGCGATGTTTATAAAAGCTTAAGCGGCTGCCGGCTTTTGTTGCTCTAATTATCGTTTAATTCGAAACAACGTTTAATTAGGTTTGCGCTGACAGGTAACAGATTGCGCCTTGATTCTCACCCTGCTGTTTGTTTATACGTTTCGGGTGGGGGGGGGGGCAGCTCCTCAGCTGGGTCCCATTACAGGGAGCATGTGAATAATTACAGACACACAAACACACACACACACACACAGATAAAGTATCTATATTTCCATTCTTGCCGCTGGGCATAACCCTAAATGTGACCTTAACCCCCACCCAGCCTCAGCCTTAAGTGAAATACAAGACTCCTGGTATTTTTGGCGTTTTGATTGCATGCACAGATTTCTGTAAAATTGAGGTTTATATTGGGGGGGGGACCTGAAAAATGTCTCCACAAGCTAAAAAGTAACAGGTTTTATCACATTGCGGGGACATTGTTCCCCAAAATGACGTAAATACACACACATCCAGTCCAGCAGACAGAGCGAAGCCGCTAAATTGTCCTTGGGCTGCAGCCCCCCCCCGCATGGCACACAGAGACTGAAATTTACGCCTCTTCTACAGCGAGCGCTATAAAGAGTCATTGCTCTCCATCCCCCCCCCCCCGCCACCGTTTACCCTCCCCCTTGAGCCCCAGGATGTAACCGAGGGCTGCCAGAGGGACATCCCCCCCCCAATCTCTAACCTGTCTGCAGCTGTGGCAGCTCAGCCTGGCCCAGGTCAGGCTTGGAATTGCCCCCAGGCATGGGGGCTGGAGGGGGTGGCAGTCTGTGACTCTGCACCATCGATACAGAGACCGTAGTGAAGGTGCTGATGAGGAGGATGCCCAGGCCGACCCAGAGCACCAGCTGGGGGGGGAGAGAGACACATACCTGTAAGGATACTGCAAATAGGAAAACGTTTCCAAAACGGGGAGAAGACATGGGAAATTTTTGAGGGCCACCAAAGAATGAGTATCTAGCTGCTCAGGACAAGTAAGGGGAGCCCCTATGTCCCCCCCCCCCCCCCGCCTAGTTTTGCTTCTTATCTCTTCCCAGTCAGAGCTACTGTGGGGGTGGGGGGGTGCACTGACACAGCCTGGCACCCACATTAAGGTCTGCTCCACCCCCTCCCAGCCAACCCCCCCAAAAGATGGCTTTCAGGACGAGCCTCTTGAGGGGGTGTGGCAGCTGTGGAACCCCCCCACCCCACCCCCACCAGCTTAGTTGAGACGTGACTTTACGGAGTCTGCGGTTGTTTAACAGACAACCTTGACTGGGGGGGTGGGGAGGGGGACACACTGATAAACAAGCTGAAGCATATAAAGGCTTTTATCTGCCCCTGGGCAGTGGGGGCCCAAAGCATATTCCACAGATATACAAAACCCCAGAATCAGTCCCACCCCCACACACAGCAAGACCACTTTCATGGGCCAAAGTCAACAGGCAGGGGCGGCAGTCACATGATCACTGTCTCCTGCGGATCGCAGATCACCCAGCAGGGGGCGACAGGCGGCAGTCACATGATCACTGTCTCCTGCGGATCCCAGATCACCCAGCAGGGGGCGACAGGCGGCAGTCACATGATCACTGTCTCCTGCGGATCCCAGATCACCCAGCAGGGGGCGACAGGCGGCAGTCACATGATCACTGTCTCCTGCGGATCCCAGATCACCCAGCAGGGGGCTGGCGGGAGAAGGATGGGGTACGGGGCTTCATGCTCGTCTGGGCCAAACAAGCCCCCCCACCAAACCCCCTCCGCACTCTGATCTCCTTCTCTTGACCACACACCCCACCCTGCCAGACTCTAGTTCAACAGCACTGCCCGTCTTGATCGCCGCCACCGGCCGACTGCTCGGGCTGGCACTGGCGCCGTGTAAATAACCCCCCATGGCCCGAGTCCCAGCGCCAGCCAATCCACCGCCCACCCTGCCCGGCCCCACGCTGTAATTACATCCCGTCGAGGAGAACAGGTCACTGCCGCCTGGTGGGGCCACTGGCGGGTATGGGCATAGACAGCTTGTGAAAGCTGAGAGCATCAACCCCCCCCCCATGCCTTGCCCCCGAAACCTGGGTCCCCCCTTGATCACCAGTGAGCTCTATATCCCCGGGTTTGAGGGCCCCCTGTTGGCCACAAACAGTCACTACACTAGGGGGGCCCAAAGTGATTTTTTGAGTGGGGCTCCAAAATTTGACCACTTACGGTACTGAGCATAAAGAGCCCCCTCTTAACTAAGGACCCCCCCTCCGAAACAGAGGGATCACTGAAATGCCTCACGTCCACTAACGTCGGCACTAAACCACAGCTCGGCATTTTTCTGGAGTTTTCTCAAAGGTCCAGCAGAAGGCATAACCAGCAGGGGGGGGGGAGTGGTGGTGGTACCAGGGCACTGATGGTGTTCTTCTGGATCTTCTTGAAGATGAGGGCGGGGCAGATAAAGCAGATGAGGCTTCCCATGGTGGCTCCGGTCAGGCCCAGAATGGTCTCCACTGGGGAGGGGTAACAGACAGAGGATCAGGGCTGTTTTGCAGATGGACAAGGGGCTCTGCTCCTCTTAGGAGGAGACACTATAGATTCCCCCCCACTGCCCAGGAAAACAACCCCCACACACACATACTAAGGAGATGAGAAATATTTAAAGAGAAGCAGGATTACAGGACGACCTGTGGTACGATTGCCGAACACACAGTGCTCAGTCGCTGGACGCTGCAATGCACCACACCACCAGCAGGGTGGCGCTAATGGCAACATGCGCATGCTGATTCGTTCACCGTGGGACTCACCATTGGGAATGAGAATGCCACCCAGCATGGTGCCAAACACAATGGAGAGGGTGATCATTTTGAAACGCAGGGGTGGGATGTACCCCCCAGCAGCGAAAGTGCCATCCTTTTGCTGGTGTAAGGGGAAGAGAAGGAAGATCAGTAGGGGGGTTGAGAGAGAGAGAGAGAGAGAGAGAGAGAGAGAGAGAATATTATGTCCAGAGCGAGTTCACAGACATCCAGATAGGGAGGGGCCTCATACAGAAGAACTTTCTGGAATTTGGATGTTGGCAAATGGAGCACACATCCTAAACGTGGGACAGTCCCAGACTTGGACACCTCCCCCCCCCATTCAGCTCTTTGCTTTGGTGCTGTGCTTAGAGGGAGGGGTGACCTGACAGAAATCCCCTCCCTGACCCTGTGATCTTCCCTAGTAATCACACCATGACTGCTTTTCATAAAATACTTTACACGGGGCTGGGAACCTGAACGGCTCAAAGTTTCTCTGCTAGAGGGATGTTTTTATGATGATGTTGTCCGACGAGGCCTAGGAGCCCAACTGAGCGCAGTACGCCGGCACTGCCACCGGGGGGCGCTGACCTGCTGCTCAAAGAGCATGGTGTTGATGGCCTGCCGGCAGGGTAGGATCATCATGGGGAAGCCGACAGCCACCGACATCATGAAGCCCACGCGGATCATCTCCGTCACCAGGTTGGAGGGGAAGTTCATGAGCACGTTGCCGGCGATGGTGTCGGTGAAGCTCACGTACCCAAAGAAGCCGACCTGGAGAGACACATACGGTGCGACCAATGTCATCTATCGGGGAGGGGGGGCTATCCTGAGCCCTAAACACCACCCCCCACCACCTGACAGCCCGACTGAGATGGACAACCACAGAATGTAATCCGCTCCCTGAGCGTTTCTTTTCGGGGTGGGGGTGGGGGGGGTAATGGGTTTGTGCTGAGTGGACAAATCACACACAAACAGGAGTGTCCTACAGCAAGGACAAGGGAGGCCCAGCTCGCAGAGCAACATCTGTACATTTAAAAAAATAAATGATGCCCCCAGTCTCGATCTCGCAGACGGACGCGTGGCCCCATTCCAGGACGCTCCCGCCCCCAACGCCGTTTACAAAGATCCAGGTCGGGTCAAGATTCGAACCTGAATCGCCCGGCGTTCAAACACAGAAGCGTCACGGATGAAATTAACCACGCCGGGTAAGAAAAAGCACTCTGCGTAATTACTCACATCACTCACCGAGTCACACGCTGCGGGGTTTCAGCAGCACCCGCGCAGCGTGGGGCCGCAGTGCAGACCTGTGACTGACACGCGAGGCAAACCTGCAGCTAGCGGGGGGGGGGGGAGCTCGGCTCCCTCCACGTGCTAGAGGTCCCCCGGGCCAGCAGGTGGCATGACGCCCCGGGAGCCCCGTCTAAAACGTCAGTCTCAAGTTCACCCGAGTCTTGGGGAGGCTACAAAATCTCCAGTGACGCACAGACGCAGTGACGCACAGACGCAGTGACGCACAGACGCAGTGACGCACACGCCCTGCTCTTCATCTTCAGACCTGGATTGAGATGCCGTGGGCTCTGTCAGAAGCTACAGGGCTAATTGATTCGCTCCTCCCTCAGCTACCACCCCCCCTCCCAAAACACTGTTTAAGGAATCATCCCCAAAGCCTATAATTACACGCCGCGCCGCCTGACACCAGGCCCTGCGGCGGGGCGGGATTGGTTACGCCTGATGCTGTTATTATTACAACAATCCCTCATTGGCTGCTCCATCACCAGCCTGGCTAATCACGGCTGGCGTTTCCGGGTGAGCGAGCGAGAAGCACGAGCCGCCCGCTTGGCATTACTTATCACCCTAACCCTTAATACCACGGCAACCATTATTAATCTATCATTATTACTACTATCACTGTTATAATGACTGTTAGTATTGCTCAAATGGCAGCCCCCACTGCCCACTGCCCATCTCACCCCCCCCCCCCCGAAGACTCGCGGACAATTCAACTTACAGCCTCCCGGAGCCCGAGCGGAGAAAAGCACAGGCCTCCAGGGGGCGCTGCGTCACGCGTGGCTGGACTAAGCCTACCCATACTCACTGTGATGTAGAAGGTGGTGACCACATTCAGGGAGTAGGTGAAGATGGTGCTCATCCGCTTTACCGAGGGCTCGTCCAGGCTGTCGTACGTGGGCAGGACCTGCCTGCAGAGAGGGAGGGGACACACCCTGTGTGTGTGTGTGTGTGCGCATGCATGTGTGTCTCAGAGAGACACACACACACACACTTGCTCTCACACTGTAGACAATGGTGAGATTTACAGCATAAACCGTCCCCGACTTACGACGGACAGCTTGTATGTCGACATGGACATGCGTCAGAATGTGAAAATGCCACTGATTTGTAGGCGTGAGGCTGAGATGGTCACACAGTACAGCAGTACAGCAGTTTTTACCACTGCTCCTATCGTACGGCACGCAGTATGCACTAGGCAGCATAGGGCTGCCAGGTGTAGAGCCGCCCAAAAATGTTTTTTTTAAATACATTTACTTTCTTAAAAAAAAAAAAGCATAATAATTTGGAAAGAGTCAAACCTAGACATGAGAGGAGATAAATGCAAAGAAATGATAGAGGTTCTCAAACTGCCGTGGACACCAGCAAACACACGAAGCAGACTCACAGACCTCAGGCGCAACATCAGCGTTTCCAAAAGACGTCAGGCTGGAGGCCACGCCCCTTGGGTCATGTGACACCCCAGGTGCGGGACACGGAAGCACACAGCCGAGAGGGTTTGGTATGAGAATGGGAATAGAGCGACGTGGGCGGGGGGGCAGTTAAAAGCGAGTTATTTTTTGGAATTGAAGAGCGACAGGAATGATGGGGCTGTCGCCACAGCAACCCGTGAGAGCACTAGCTGCGGGCCGGGGAATTTACCGCCGCTGTCTATCCGAGCTGAGCCGCTGATCACATTTTAAAACCTTATAAAGTTTCTTGGCAGTTGGTTTTTGCTGAGCCGCCCCTCTGAGAGGGAGGGAAACCTAAAATAGCCCCCCCTTATTTTTACAGGCCTTTACAGGACTCCTTAAACGGCCTCAGTCAATCTCAGGGCCACTCCATCCCGCACGGCGCGTGAAAACAGCTCTGGGGGGGGGTGCTTGTGGACAGGTGAGCTATTGGCAGGAGTCAGCCCCACGGCCCCCATGCCCCACCAGCCACTAGTGACCAAGGCTCGAGGGAGGGGGGGGGGGCAAGAGTTATTGATTGGCTGTGTGTTTCACGCGTCATCGTGCCGCACAATTTCACGGCTCAGGAAGCGACCACATCGCAGCGTCCCGCTGAAATATGGAGCCGCTTAACCACTCCGGGGACTTTCACCGTTTTCAGTTCTGTGCAGCAGCCTGTCCTGCATCTGACTACAGAGAACATGCAGTAATCACACATAAGCGTAATAACGGCACGATCCAGCTAATTAGCCAGCTCAACTGTCTTAGCCATCCACGTGCCGCAGACCTCAAGGAGCGTCCATGGTGCAGTGGCGCGGTCTATAAACCAGCCAGACGTCTCTTGGGGGACAAGAACAATTAAAAATAATAATGGAAACAAATCAACAATGACCAAGAGTGGCATCAACCCATCCCCTCAGCAGACACCCAAAAGACAAGGAAAAGGAAACTGGACAGGATAGGGGACAGGGG